TCGATTGGACGGGAGATAAAGCAGGGAAACTCCAGCCCTCTAAGCCCAAGTGGAATTGAAGCGCCGCCACACGAGCAAATTACCCCACTGACCAGGTGCTTCCATCTCCACAGGAGCAACGCGAGTAAAACGCGATAGAACCTCCAAAACCGCAGTTTAAACTACCCACCTCCGCCAGGTCTCCATGCCGAACGGGAAATCGTAGCATTCCAGCCCTTTCCGATCCTCATCCTCGCCCTCCTTCGCCTGGGGATGCCACTTGTTGAGCCCTCGCTCCTCCGCCGTCCCTGTGCATTTCAAACATTCACCATAAGTGGCCTAAATATCGAAATATCGCCTGAATGCTGATAGCAAGTGATATTTCTTTGCATTCGTAATTTAAAAGAAAAATGTTCTGCTGGGGGTTTAATTTCTTCTAGACTTCATTTTTCCTTGTGACTAGTTTATACGTCAAAGCATGCATTTCAACGGATCGGCGACAATATTCCAGCATTTTCACTCGGTCGACCCCCCCCCCCCCCCCCCCCCCCAAATCCTCACCTGGAATGGTGTTGTCGAGCACGAAGGCGATGAACCCCCCGACGAACATGCTGGTGGAGAGAAGGACCTGGATCGTCTGGTTCCAGAAGTCGCTCCCCGTCGAGATCTCGGATTTGTGATTTTTTACCCAGTCAGGCACTGCCTAAAAAAATTATTCATTCATATTAGTATAAATATAGGTAAGCAAATAAATAACGTATATGAAGTAACGTATAAGGTATATAATAATTGAAATATATAAATAACCAAAACAGAAACGTAAATATAATAAAACTAATGAGTACAACTGCTAATAAATTTAATGAATGTAACAAACATTAGGGCAAAAAAAAGTTTAAAATAAAGAAATAGTTTGAGGTGTAACTCACGAGTCCCATGAAGAGAGCGAATCCCAGGACGAACAAGTTCCGCGTGGAATTCAAGTCCACGAACTGCAGGTTGGAGATCCCTGGGGGGGGGGGAAGAAAAAGTTTGCATGGAGTCGGGCAAGTCGATGAAACGGTCCTTGCAGTTTTTTCGGCCTCGCTAACTCGACGGAATAGAGGGAAAGTCTCGATTTCGAAAATTATAAATGAAATTAAGTTAAACGAATATTCAAATAAGTATTTTTAAAAGTTGAAGACTTCTCAAAATAAGCATATAACAGATAAAATTCGTATTATTTATTAATTTGCCTAAAAGAGGGATTTCAGAGCTCCCAGACTAAACCCGCCCTCCCTCCCCCTCCCCCAATCCCTCAATCCCGCCCCCGAAAAAGACGGCGGAAAATTACCGACGGCAGAGATCATGGCAAAGAGGCAGCAGAACATCCCGCCGAGCACCGGCTCCGGGATGGTCACGAAGAGGGCGCCGAACTTCCCGAAGACCCCGAAGACGATCATGAGGAGCGCTCCGAACTGGATCACTCGCCGGCTCCCCACCTGCAATTTTTCACACAATTTTATGCAATTTTTTATTTTATAAATATGTTTAACTTCGTGATACTTTTTTATATAAATGTTCCTAAATATTCTTTTACAAATTTTATTAGCAACGTTCTTTAATATATTTTTCAATATTTTATTTGATAAATATTCATAGTATTGATTCATATCATATCAATATTCATAGTCAAAAACGTTTAACATATATATATATAATTGACGGCCTCGCCAAGGACTCATGCGACCTTCGTGATCCCGATGGCCCCGATGTTCTCCGAGTACGAGGTGGTCCCGTTGCCCGAGCCGATGATCCCGGCCAAGACGGAGCCCAGTCCCTCCGTCCCGATCCCGCGGTTGATCGCGTGCGTCGGCGGCGTCGGCGCTCCTGATCGACAAATGAACACAATTAGCATAATTAACGCAATTAGGTTTTTTCTAAATTCGTCGACCCACCGGCCAGCCTGGCGCAGGCGTAGTAGTCCCCGATGCTCTCGACGGCCGACGACAAGATCCCGGCGAGCATGCCGAACACCGCCGACGCCGACACTGTCGGCATTCCCCATTGACCTAAGAACAAAAAAAAATTCACGATGAATATCACCCGATAATTGTCGCGATTGTCTCTTCAAACTGCGAACTCGTAATTTTTTATTATTAATAAACTCGAGTCAGATCATTATTTTTTGCTATTTTTTTTTTCGGAACCGGGAGCCGAGTGAGTCCAGCCACTATGGCGGCCGACAACAGCCAAAATCCAAAAGAAATTCTGAATGTTCAATCTTTTTCGATGCAAAGTCGAGCCGTCCTCTCATAGCCAATGATGGCCCGAAATCGCGACCGAGATGCGTTGGGGGAGTTCCTGCCACGAAGGGGGGAAGGGGGAGGGGGCAGAGGGGGGCAGAATGAATTGCTTGCCCCTAAAAAAGAATTTATGACGTAGCTTTTCCAAGTTAAAAAATTGTAATTCGCATTTTATATTTTAAAAATGATCAATTTCTCCCCGCAGGACACTGGAATCCCACCAAATTCATTCCCCGCAACTCGAAAAAAAAAAAAATATAATAAATATAGTACCTGGATAAGGAACGCGGAACCAGGGCGCCTTGTTGAGAATGTTGAGGTTGAGGTCGGTCCTCGCGCCGTTTTTCTCGTCGAGCACCTCCAGCCGCGTGAGGATCCCGCACACGGCCCAGCTCACCATCATCGCCAGCAGCACCTGGCGGGCGAGACGCTCTTCATTCGCGGCGATCGCGATCGCGATCCCTGCACGTCCTCTTTCCGATTTTTCCGCGTGCATAAATGCTCGATAAAAGCATTCTCTGCGGACGGTCGTGGAAAAAACGGACGCAACTTTCGAGGACCCGAACAAACCTCTCCTATCCTTCCTTTTATTCTTTCAACTTTGGAAATGCCATGGATCGATCCACCTCGATCCTTTCGGCAAGGAAACTCCCTCCCCTCCGCCTCCCAATCCACAACTTTCCTCGCGACGCAACACGCCCCACGAATCCCGCAGACAACTATTACCTATACCTATTAACTATACCAACCATATTAACCATAACCATTAGCAACCTCCTCCTCCCCTTCCC